GGCTGGGCGGGCGCGGGCAGGGCCCGGAGCGAGTGCAACCCGAACAGACGGCGCGCGACCCGGAGCAGACAGGCCAGGTGGGCCCTGCCCCGGGACCCTCCCCGATCCCCTCTCGGCACTCCCGGCCCCGACTCGCCCCCACCAACCGCTCCTTCCTGCCTCCCGGCCGCGGCCGCGCCCGGTCATCTGCGCAGGCTCCGCCCCGTCCCCGTGTCCCTTAAGGCCTCTGCTCCAAGGTCGAGCAATTGGGAAGTGGGCCTTCTGTCACCGGCCCCCCAACCCACGTGCTTCTTGGCGCTTAAAGGGCCAGGAAACCCCAGCGCCAGGGCTCCTGCTGAGTGTCCACTTCCCAAAGATCTGCTCTAGGCCCTGGGTTTCCCCCCAACTCTGGGCACGAGCACTGGGGAATTGGGGGCATTAGGCCCAGCACCCTGGCTTGCCCAGGTCTAGCTCCACCCAGGGCCCCTCCTGGGCCTGGAATCCCCCGTCCTCTCCCCCTCCCAGCTCTGCCCAGGGCTGCCCACCTGTGTATGACCAGGCCTCCCTGCTGACCCCCTATCTCTGTCCAGTTCTCCCAGGACTACCGGCTGAAGAGTCGCTGCTGGACTCCAGCCCTGTCACCATGGGCGGCCCGGAAGGACGCTTCCATTTTGCCATCGACCGTGGAGGCACCTTCACAGATGTCTTTGCTCAGTGCCCAGGGGGGCATGTGAGGGTCTTGAAGCTGCTCTCAGAAGACCCTGCCAACTACGCAGATGCACCCACAGAGGGCATCCGCCGCATCCTGGAACAGGTGGCCCGGGCAGAGCGGTGGGGCAGGGAGGGGCCTCTGGGCCAGAGGCCTGTTGACTGACCATCCGATGACCTGCTGGGGTCCCCAGGAGGGAGGCATGCTGTTGCCGCGGGACCGGCCGCTGGACACCAGTCGTATCGCCAGCATCCGCATGGGCACCACGGTGGCCACCAACGCACTGCTGGAACGGCGAGGGGAGCGGGTGGCCCTGCTGGTGACCCGCGGCTTCCGGGACCTGCTGCATGTGGGCACCCAGGCCCGAGAGGACCTCTTTGACCTGGTGAGCTCGCCCACGCCATCAGGCAGCCGACTGTGCAGCTCCTGCTTTCCCCGGGTGCTGTGGCCCCTTGGGGTGTGCAGTCCTTGGAAGGGTTGTGCCAGCCCAAGACCACCAGTTGACAAAGAGGAGGTTCCGGGCACTCGTAGTGGGACACTGCGTCCTCCCAGCCCTGACTGATCACGTGTTGTCCTGTGCCTATCTGCCGCTGTGCCCTGTCCTGGACCCCTGACCCCCTCACCCCCG